CTGTGGTTGCCAATTGAGATGTTTATCTATATAAACTCCCAAGTACTTTATGTAATCTTTCTGTTCAATACCAGTGATATTTATCTTTGGGTGGCACCTAGATGATGAGACTAACATGTAATTGGTCTTTGCAGTGTTAATAGATAACGTATTTAGAGCACAGTCGTTATAAATTTGTTTAAGCTCTAGATTCATTACGAACGTTAAGAAATAATTTAGATAAAGAGTATTGGCGTTCTATATCAAAACGAAAACAGAAAGGATAAGCAAAATTAGGCGGTGGGATGCTTTTCGACCAACATTTCTCCCGTGAAAAAAGCGTAATTATTAAAAGCAAAAATATAAAACCACTTCTAAAGAAAATGGCCTAAATTTAACTACGCATTTATGAACTAAAAACATATCTCCTTGCTGGTGGTTATAATAATAATTTGCTAGAGGAACAGTTTCTACCCGCTGCTAATATTTCTTGACTAACGCGTTAGAGACTATAACCTAAAGATTCTAACGATGTTGTACCATTTGTTGTCACCAGCACTTCCACGCATTTGTAATATCCTACACAAACATTTTAACATTTGACATTCCTCTTACCGTTGCAAGGACGTCTTTAAGCAACCGCCTTTTGTTGCTTACAGACATAGCCCTAATCTTCGTGAACTTTTAGTTAAAGCACAATTACCAGTTATTTCTAACAATTATTTTCCGCCAGACTCCTCCCGCTGAGGACAAAATTGTGGGACTTGTCTATACATTACTATCGGCCTCACACGTTATACTTTTTACGCTACAGGTGAAACACGCTTCATCACTTCACACATTACTTGTAACACTAAAAACGTGATATACATTGTTCAATTTGCAGTCGACAAAACTAATGCACCTATCAATGTTATGCCGGCTGGGGGGAGGGGGAGGCAGGGGATGGGGTTGGGATTTGATTGTCTTTGTTGGCCCTGGGGTAGGGCATTTGACTGATCTTGTTGAGGTTGGCAGCAAGTTTACAACTCTATTTATTTATTTTTTCATTCTCAGAATCAGAGAGCGAAAGCTGCCATGTATTTAGCAGCCGGAAGTTTCGTGTTTGCATGAGATGCAGCCGAGCCGCACAGTCTGAACTTATTGAAGCCTTCAACGAAAGAACAACCATGTAAAAGAATGAAATAGGCATCTTTTTGAATGAAAGTACGTTTTAAGGCATGTTTAGTTTCTCGGCACCGTAAGCTCATTGAATTCATGACTACTGTCATCAAGGTCGAGGTTGTCATTAAATCCCGCCTATCTTTTGTTTTGAGTTCTTGTTTTCTCTGATAATAAAATAATTATTGAACGGCCTAAACTTTTATTTCTCGGTTCTAGTGTGAATGATAATAATGACGTCTTTATTTTGTTTGTTTTTTTCATAAGTATTGCTATAGATTCTTTTTATAGTTATCGCCTTCTCTCAAATTAACTTGTGCCAAACCAGTAGCATGCAAGAAAGCCAGTAAAAACAAATTCGCGCGTCTTCTCAAGCGCTAGCGACCTTCAAACTTCAAAAATCATTTTCAGCTTTGGTGCAACCAGATAACAATGTGGTGCAAACGTTTTACACTAGACTATAATTTCTATATGTTTGCTTTGCTCGAAATCGCGCGCATTTACAAGGCCCTAAAGCGTTTTGCTGACTTGCAAGGACCCATCTGTTATAAGGATGCCCAAAATACAGAGATGAATCTCATAGTTTATTAGATATAATCCGTGTAAAGTTTGCTTATCATTTTCGCATAAATTATGACCTAAATTTGGAAACCACTGAATTTCTCGAATTGGGTCTTTGCGATTTTGGTAAAACTCTGTTCAGCGCAAGGCACTAATGCGCACTATGTGTAGCCGAGAGATTTTCACGAAAAAATGCTGGCAACAGCAGATTTTCGACTCAGACCTCAAAGGGGCGTGGCATTATAACCACGTGACATTTACTCCAATCGCCAAAAATTTTATGTTATATTGTAGATTGATCTATATGTTATCCATTCTATGTGTTATACTTACGATAAAAGTAAAGGTGGGGATACCAGAGAGCTTCAAAGTGGGATGGTACCCCCTAAAAAAAACTGGGTCGAGTCACCTTAAAACCTGGACAACGTAAGCCCAACTTATACGAATCGAAAACATATTTTGTTTCACCAAACAAGCACACTGAAATATATTTACTTGGCCGAAAGTGTACAAAAATTAGGGAAGATGTTTAAAATGTTGGAAAATTGGAAAATATTGGATTTGGTGGTTGATTAAGTTTACAATATGAAATGAATAATTGGTAGGTCCTTTAGCGGACTAACTGGTATGTGTACGTACCTTTTCTACCCTAATTTATTTCCTTTCTGAATCGACATAGCAAAAAAAATTGATGCTTCCGTCAAAAAACGAACTAGACTACCCCCGTTAAAATCGCCAAAGGGACTACTTTGTCTTCGGCATTGGGAGGAGTTAAGAAATAATTTTTGGCTAACTCAAGGCCAATCTGCATGCATATGGACAGACGGAACACAATTAACAAAAATGGTCGGTAAAATGGCCTCATTTCATTTCCTTTCCTAGCTTTTCCTGTCACTTTTGCACTTCACGCGGGGTTAAATAGCTGAATTTATCAGCAAGCGCATACCGGGGGGGTACTCCCTTATTGCCCCCGCAGGGATTTCGCCCAGAGGCGAAATCCCGAGGAGGCACCCTAGTTGTTCGTGCATATATTAAGGACAGTACTTACAGTTAAAATATACAGTCACTATACTAGAAAAAATCTCGATTCGCTCGAACTAAGGCCGCGAGGAATCGGTCGGTAATGATGACGTTTCTATTGTTTGCGCCCGCAAGTACGAAATGGTTAGGATGACGTAAAGACAGAAAATCCCGAAGGGACCGCTCAGGTTGTGCAGTCATACTTCGATACTCTTATGCGTTACGCAGTGACATTCTGTGGAGCAGTTGTTTTGAAAGTTATGGACCAAAAGACACTCGTTAAGGGCAGCGGAGGTTTTAAGGTGCGTTTAACTGTGTAGATATATAAACACTTGGAGAGTTTGCCAGACACGAGTTCACAAGTCTTTGATTTATATTGGAAACCTTGCCAGACACTCTTTCTCTCTCTTTGACCGGAATAAGACGAAGACCCAAACAAGCAAGACGAGTGAACAACGGCTAGCTTATCACTAGCAGATTGATGGACATTTACAGAAATTCGCCGACAATCAAATTCTGTGCTGACTTATTCCCTGCTCACAAATGTCCTTCCGTTATCAAGTTTTAAATAAGACTAGAATGCGCTAGCGTGAATCGATCAAACGTCCTTTTAATTTCTAAGGGTTACTTTGCGGCAAATAAAATGAACCGAATGTAAAAAGGGAAAGAGAAATGCCGAAAAATTCAACTTCTAATTAAATCTTTTCTCATGGTTTAGAATAAACTATTCTCGAAACTGAGAATGTTTTGATCAAAGCTGTGTAAATCGAGCTGAAACTGTGCATGGAATCTTGCGTTTCCTGTATTTATCTCACCTATTGTATGGAATATGTGTGAAAATCTTCATTATGAATCGGTATATTTCAAAGAGCTACACAACCAGCAAGAATACTATTGACCGACAATATACAGAACGGGGGCAGCTGTAGTGTCAACTATTACTAGTATAAGCTATATAGACATACGCCGCCCCATCGGATGAGGTTTTTGCGCCGTTTTGGTCTGAAAACGGGTATACATTTTGCCCATTTTGATCTGGAATCTGGTATGGTTTTTCAGGGAACTACGGAGTGTACATCTGTTATGAACGTATCCAAATGAGTAAGGAAAGAAAGAGAAATATGCGAATTCGAAATGGATTTGAATAATTTTGTTGTTTGCGCTGTAATCTACCTAATGATAACATGATTTCTGCCTAAAAGCCAGGTCAGAAAACGGGTATGGATTTTAGAGGTCTAGTCTGAAAACGGGTGTGGAAAATTACATTTTTGGTTTGAAATCGGAACAGGATTTGAAGAACTGGGCGGCACACCCCCACCAAGAATTACCAGGAGTACCCCCCGGGGCGCATACAAGGGGTTATTTCAAGGGGCCACTCCCACTCCTTTTTACCTAAATCGAGTATAGACATTTTAAAACTTGCCAGTTCGAGAATCTGCCTTCTATGCTCTTTATTTGTGGACAGAGAGGCCCTAAAAACTCTTCTTTCTCCCAGAGCCTAATTCGAAATTTTCTCATGGATTTGCCCCTGTCTATACACTCT